AAGTCCTTGAGTTTTCCAAGTAGTAGTTTTTGTGATAGAAGCTGAATTTCATTAAATTTTCCTGTAGCTTTCAGCAACATGAGACCCTGTCTTGAAAATAAATGAATAAAAGTAAATATGAAATAGACTAAAAGGTTTTTAAAAAGGATGAAATATGAAAGCATAGAACTACAGAAGAACCAAAGATTAGACTGAATAGAAATATCTTAGACTTTTTAGGATGTAGTAGGTTGCACTTCCTTGTCACACTATTAACCTGTGATTGTTCCCATTCCCTGGTCATCATTGCTTCCATCTTGTAAGATGTTAATTTTCTGAGGCATATTAATAACTTCCCATCCATAAAGTATTTTATATCTCTATTTTATTACTAAACCCCTATATAATCCCATTAAGTTCCTAATTCTTTCTGTTTCTACTGCTAATATTTCTATGGAGTAGTAAATATAATGGTGCTGTTTTACCATCAACTTCTTTTTTCTTTCTCCCATTGGCCATTTTTTTCATAACAGCATTATCTTTTATCTTTAATTGTGTCCACTGTTGCTGTAGCTATGACGTCTGATATTTAGAATTTCTCTTTGATGCTATGAAATTAGTTTGTGTTCCTCTTACTCTGAAACAACTTCAGGTTTCCTGACTTCAAAGCAGAGCATGCTCTTTGAAGGGGCTTTTCCTTCATAAGAAGCTATTTCTCCCATTCCTTGGGCTCAAGGCCAATACCAGAGGGATCAAAGCTATGTACCTGAACCTAAGAAGGGCCAATTGACTGTGTGAAGCTGTTATGGAATTTATAGGCACTGTTAGCTTCTGCAAGCTAACAAGCTGTGGAGTATAAGTAACTACTGGAAAAAAATCTTAAAATGCAAATAAATCATATATTACCACTACTGAGTAATGTTTTACCAATACCAGTCAACTCAAAGTACTTACTGTAGAAAGAGTCTCTAAATTTCCTTTATTTTCTTACAATTATTGTTCAAACACATTAATTTTATTTTTAACAGTATAAACCTTATGGTTTGTGTTAACAAGAATGATTTTTTGTATGTATTTTAGTGGTGTCTCCACTGTCCTGTTTTTGCTTATTATTATTTAGTGGCAATGTCTTTTTGCAGTTTTATTTTATCTACTTTCTTACATTCCATTAATATTAGTATGTTCACCAACATTCTTGCTCCCTTTGTGCATTACATTTTTATAGAATCTTGGCTTAGCAGAAGCATTTTCTGGACTTCCATTTTCAGATTTGGGTTGGCTTGGGGTAGCAACCAGAATTGTAGCTCTCCACCTGTACAACAAAACAGGGTGAGCATGGCTAAGAGATCCTTCTAACACCAATGTATTCTAGTTTCCAGGTACTTTTGTGTACTTCATTCACGACATTCTATGAAAGTTATCATTTATCCATACATTTGTTCTCGGCCTTTTATCTTGTTTCCTATCTCACTCAGCTTTCCATCTATGTCCACAAGTTTTCAATGGCACTTATACTCTGCCCACACTTCTGAATCCCTATTCTCAATTCAGATTTGAGGAGTTCCACCCTGGCTCACCCTCCACTGAGCAACTCTTCTCCTTGACCTGTGAATACTTAGTTAGAGTCAATGCCCAAAGGAAAAATACTATTCTCCTATCTTTTCTAAAATATCATTGTATTCTATCTCACAACCGATTGACTCATGCCTGGTCTAACCTTTTAAATATATACTGAATCTGTCCATCACTCTCTTTCTAGATAACAGAGTTTAAGACATCCATTAGCCTACATTAAGCTGCTTCTGCTAAGAAAGTACAGAAAATAACAACTCAAGGAAGTAAATTGTTTCTACGTTGACTTTTCAAAAAGTTCATTTTTTTCAAGAGGCTGAGAGATGGAGCCCCTTTACTTATGCACTCTTAAACCAAATGCTTATTTACAAGTGTCACACCATAAGTGCAGCAAAGTCATATTCTAGAATCTCAGTCCTACTTTCTATAGTGAGTTTCTCATACATTGCCTTCTGTGTTTTGGCCTTCCACTCAGCACATGCATGGTGAGTGTTTGGTGACTATTTACTGCTTGAATAAAGATAGAAGAGGACTTGAGTAAGATTACTTCTGATACAGTTCCTCCTAAACATATGATTTCTATCTGTGACACAGTTCTTTATGTTATAGGAATTAATATTTGAGAACCTTTAAACATATCTGTCACTAGCTCTTTTTTGATATTCTTTGAGAGGCGTTCAGTGGTATAATAATTGCACCAATAACCTTCGAATATCATCTCCAAACTCTCTGTCCTATAACATGAAAAAAATGAGATAGACATACTTCTGAATAAGATCTAGGTCAATAAGAGTTGATTGGAGAAAGCCTGGGTAGATGATGGCCAGCAAGGAAAGAGCCATGTAAGTGCAGACACTTGTGAATCTCAGCCTCATTAATCAGATTAATTAGTTAAGTCAGGTGTAATCATGAGACGTGAAAACTGATCTCTTACAGAGCTCAAAAATGAATTTTTATCATTGTATCTGTGTGTGTGTGTGTGTGTGAGAGAGAGAGAGAGAGAGAGAGAGAGAGAGAGACAGAGAGACAGAGAGACAGAGAGAGACAGAGACAGAGACAGAGACAGAGACAGAGACAGAGCATGCATATGTATGTATGTGGCATGTGGAGACCAGGTCTTCCTCAATCCCCTCTCTTCCTTATTTTTTGTCACTGTTTATTACTGAGTCAGGAACTCACTGATTCAGCTAGACTGTGTAGCCAACAAGCCTCAGGGACTCTTTTGTCTGCCTCCCTAGTGCTAGGATTGCAGGCATGTGCTGCCACACCTAGCTTTTTGCATGAAATCTGAGATCCAAACTCAGGTACTTATACTAGCATAGTCATGTTTACTGCATTGAGTCATCTATTCAGGTTGATATGTTATGTTCTCAAAATCCTTGATCTCATAGTGATGCACTAAAATGTAAGGAGAGTCATGCTGTTAAGTAATAGTACAGGTTCAGTAGTCAAAGCTATGTCCTCAATTAATCATGCTAGTAAATATAGTCTAAGTTCATGTAAAATGAGACCATACCTTCATACTTCAAACTAAGAGCTAATTTTTCTCCATTCATTTGGGGTGGCATGTCCTGTATTCTGAAGTTTTTAGGAACTTTGAATTCATAGTGAAACCATAAGTACCTTTCATTTTCCAGTAGCTTTCTCCATTTATTAATTTATAATTGATTTAATACAAAGAATTATTTCCTAAATGTTTCTGGTAAAATATTGTAAGAAATATATTACTAAGTAGTATTATTTTAGTGCTTTAATACAAAAATATACTATGGTGGGTTATTTATATGTGTTTGTAATTGATTATGGCCATAAACACTTTTCTTTGCACTTACAAGGGTTTCAAACTTCTAAAAATATGACTCTGATGGGTAAGTGAGGAAAGGATTCACTCCTAGATGACTTCTTATCCTTAGACGTCAAAGCTTGCTCATTGGGTAGGACAATCGTATTTGAGAGAAGATGTAAAAATTAATTGCTGCTAAGTTAAATTTTTCTCTATCCCAACATGATTTTTGTTCAGCTTCATTTTATCATGTGCTTACTTCACCGATTAGAGTTGAGTATATTTTCTGTTAAGTTTGAGGTTTTTGTTAATTTATTTTTAGTAGCATACACATAATGAGCTAAGAGCACATGGTTAAATTTTGAGATATAAGCATTTGCAATAACAATCAGAAACCCAGTTATTACCTAGAGAACAAATTTCAAGGTCATTGCTCCAAGACTTTCCCTGATAAGGTTTTGGGGGTTTGTTTTTTTCCAATCTATTTTGCCTGAAGAATAATATTCAAGAGCATCCTTATCATGTCTTAGAAAATATTACAATGTTGCAAAGGAATAGTAGTCATGGTGAAAGTAACACAAATTAAATGACCCAGGCAAGGCATTTCCAGGGATGAAACTTTTTGTTTCTCAACTTAAAAAATAAAATAAATCCTCTAAATAACACTTTCGAAGACAAAGCAAAACAGGGATAAGAAGGTTACTAAGATGTGAAAATCTTTGCTCAGTTGTTTCAGAGTTTCCTTTGGCTTATTTTCGCCTCATAACCAGAGATAATGTTATTTGAATTTGACAAGAATTTTGCTTCTTAACTATCCATGCAAAATTAACTATATAACAAGGAGTAATTGCTTAGTTTACATGTACAGTGAGATGTATTCATTATGTGCTTGATATGCTAATTTGTCAAAAGTATACTAACCAATGTGAGAAATTCTGATTTCTAAATTTTTACATAAAATAAATGAGTGGCATGATTGATTACATTTATTTTGCATATTTTGGATGAAATGATAACTATATAATACTTCTTTTAAGTGATATATTGATTAAATCCTTAGAATACATAGTATATCATGTAGACTTGACTCCAGCTCCAAGTAGCTTTATATTTTATTGTGTTTTGTGCACCTTTATTTACTGAACAAATATATTTTTCCAAAGAAAATTACTTTTTTCTCTCCTTTTTTTAGTTTTGAAAACAATAGTAGATTTTTCTGGGTAAAATTAGTTTCTTTCTATGTCCACTGTTCAATTTTCAACTGATTCTCATGATATTCTTTGCTATTATTTCTAAAACACACTTGTTTTTTGAAAAACTGCAATGTTTTGACCTTTATAGTTAAATTTCCAAAAGAAATGTCAAAATTACAGTTCTGACAAGCTGTAGCAGGAAGATCCAAAATAGTGCTATTGAAGTGTGTTCTCAACAAAGTAACGAGTGATCACAATATCAGGAAATTATCTGCCCTTATTGATCAAGGTTCTCCAGAGAGATAGGACCAGTGTGTGTGTGTATGTGTGTGTGTGTGTGTGTGTGTGTGTGTGTGTGTGTGTGTGTGTGGTGTGTGTGTGTGTGTGTGTGTGTGTGCTATGATATATAATGCCACATATTTTAATGTTTATCATGTTTATATATTACTGTTTATCAGCATCCTCTTTCCTAGAATCTGAGGTGGTTCATTTTGATGGACAAAGTTCTCTGCTCTACAAATTTGATAAAGGAGCCACAAGACCAATAAGAGATGTTATTTCCTTTAAATTTAAAGCCATACAGAACAGTGGGATTATATTCCATGGAGAAGGACAACATGGGAATCGAATTGTTTTGGAATTAATCAAAGGAAAGCTTGTCTTTTATCTTAGTTCAGGTAAAAATTATTTGTAATTAATCTGTTTAGCTAAAAATACATCTGTTGGTACTTGATCTTTTCATCTAAGTAAAGGAACCATATAATTTATCATTCAAATGCCTTTGAGATTTAAAGGAAACACTACTATAATTACTCTAGAATAATGAATACAAAGTAGAAACGTCATGGGAAAATGTAAATGCAAGTTTAATAGAACTGCTAATAAATGCATGTAACATATATGTATCTTCAATATAAGATGTACATAAACCCTCAGATAGTCTTAGTAATAAGGTTTCAGCAAAGAAACTGCTCACAAGATAAAGGTAAGTGCCATGAAAAGTAAAATAAATAGGGTTTCCAGAACCCACATCAAGCAGCTCACAACTGCCTTTAATTCCAGGGGATCCAGCTCCCTCTTCTGGTCTCCAAAACACTCACATATATACATACCCCCACACAGATGCAGATGCATGCACATAATTAAAATTAAATAAAAATACATGTAAAGATTTTATATTCAAGATGAAAAGAAAGTCAGATTGTCCTTGTTTGGGAAGAAAGAATGGATATAAATTAAAGCTCTGATTTTTCAAAGGGAAGTGTGATTTTTTTTTAAAGAACTAACTCATTTTTTTTTTCCTTTTTTAAGGCAATGGGAACCTGCCCCCCATTAACGCTAACATGAACTTCACCCTAGGCAGCCTTCTGGATGACTGGCACTGGCACTCTGTGCTCATTTAGTTCTTCAATGCACATGTGAACTTCACCTTGGACAAACACATTCATCATGTCCTTGTGAACAAGGAATCCAGTTACTTGGATCTTAATTTTGAGGTTGCTAGACACCGTATAATTTAATTGGAATTATAATCTGGAAAGATGACTCTTATACAGAAATACCAATTTGTAGTAATCTAGACCTACAGTGACTGATAACATAGTATTAGACATGTCCAGGTAACACTAAACTATGTATTCATTATAACTTATTATTATAGACTCTCTTCCCCATGAGAGGAAATAATAGGTTATTACATTAGGATTCAAAATTTTTTTACAAATGAAGATATTGTAAGGCAGAAAAAAACATTATTAAATATATTTCTTTTAAATTTCATCATTCATAAAAATATCACTTCTTGTTTCACTATGAACAAATTCCTATGGGTCTTTTTTATGTTGGTGTAGTCACAAGGAACTTAACATTACCTAGGATCACTCTAAGGACTTAATCACATGTACATCAATAGATTTATGACATAATAGCAGAGTCAAATGCCTACCCTTAAACAATCTCTTAGCTTTTTAAATGGTTTAGCTTTTTGTACATTTTTTCCAACATGTATCTAAATAACACTGCTAAATAAAATTTATCTTTCCAGTTCCTCACAAGACAGTGTTGAAAGGATTATAACACACAAGGAAAGCTATGAAATCTATGAGGCATAAATGGTTTGCCATGTAACATCTTCAGAACACCCAGTCCTATAGCATATGACAGTTTGATTGCCTCCACTTCCCTGTGAAGATAGTCCTCAGTGCAGTAACTGGTATTTTACCTCAGACCAAATCTTACATTTTCAAGATTATTGATTAAAGCAGGGTGAGGTATTGCAGTCTTTAATCACAGCCCTCGGGAGGCAGAGGCTGGCATATCTCTGCAAGTTCAAAGCCAGCCCAGTCTACCTAGTGAGTTACAGGACAGTCAGGGTTATATTAGAGAGGCCCTATTACAAAACAACAACAGTAAAAATATTGATTTAAAATAACCTTGGTTAGCCTGGTGGTGGTGGCGCACTCCTTTAATCCCAGCACTTGGGAGGCAGAGGCAGACTGACCTCTGTGAATTCAAGGCTAGCCTGGTCTACAGAGTGATTTCCAGGATAGGCTCCAAAGCTACACAGAGAAACCCTGTCTCGGAAAAAAAAAATAATTACTTAGGCTGGATTGTTTAAGAAGTTCTATTGGAACACATGTGAGTTCTAAAAAAAACAAAACACCAGGGGTCTGGAAAGATGACTCAAGGGTTAAAAGCATTTGTTGCTCATCCAGAAGACCTGAGTTGGATTCCCAGAACCCTCAAGGCAGCTCACAACTGTCTGCAACTCTTGTTCCAGAAGATCCAATGCCCTCTTCTGGCTTCTGGGAACACTAGGCATGCACTTAGTGCATAAGCATACATGCAGGTGAAACATCCACACATATAAAAAAAATTTTAATTAAAAAAAAACCACATTGTCTATGGCTGCTCTAATGGCACTGTGGTCTAGCTAAGTGATATGAAAGTGACCATTAAGTTCACCAAGCCCCAAGTATTTCTTAGGTGAAAAATGGTCACTTCCTTTAAATTTACATGCAAAAGTAATCAGAAATTAGGCTGTCAAAACAAGTCATGATAATAGGATACCGTAACTGTAATTCTTGTTGATAATTGTTTTGTTATATGTAATCTTACTATGTTAAAGTTAAAACCTTGCTTTAAAAAAAAAAGAAAAGGGGAAGTGCTGTGGATATCATTCTGTATGCTGTGAATGTGTTTCTCTGATTGGTTAATAAATAAAGTGCTGATTGGCTAGGAGCCAGGCAGGAAGTATAGGCGAGACAAAGAGAGAGAATTCTGAGAACAGGAAGGCTGAGTCAGGAGACATTTCCAGCTGCCACCAGGAGAAGCGAGATGTAAAGATACTGGTAAGCCACAAGCCATGTGGCAAGGTATAGCTTTATAGAAATAGGTTAATTTATTATTTTTATTTTTTTACTTATTTTATTTATTTAATTTTTTTTGGTTTTTCGAGACAGGGTTTCTCTGTGTAGCTTTGCTCCTTTCCTGGAACTCACTCTGTAGCCCAGGCTGACCTTGAACTCACAGAGATCTGCCTGCCTCTGCCTCCCAAGTGCTGGGATTAAAGGCGTGTGCCACCACCACCCACCCTGAAATGGGTTAATTTAAGATGTAAGATCTAGCTAGCAAGAAACCTGAGCCATTAGGCCAAACAGTTTCAATTAATATAAGCCTCTGTGTGTTTATTTGGGTCTGAGAGGGTACAGAACTGGTGGGTGAGAGAGATTTGTCCTGACCGCAGGCCAGGCAGGACACAGGAAAACTTCAGCTACAGGATACTTTGTATAAAATGGGCAAACATGAAAATCTACAGTGTGACAAATAGATTTATGGCAATTAGTGTAACAACCGTTGATCAAAAATGGGTTAAATAAATCATCACAAAATCATAAACAATGTTATTTATTTTTGTTTTTCTTTCTAAGATCAGCTTTGGAGCAATTCTGATACCTGAAAGGCATTCCCTGACATTCCCACATAAAAATTTTCATGGATGTTTAGAAAATATTTATTATAACGGAGTGAATATTATTAAATTAGCCAAGAAACATGAGCCACAAATCCTAATTAAGGTAAGAGATCTTAAAAGGGAAAGAAAGAGAAAAGGAATTATTACCAATTTTTGTGCCTAAGAAAAGTTCCTAGCTGGGAAGATGGCGAAATGTGTAGGGTATTGCTATGCAAGCATGAGGAAGAGAGTTAAGTTTCCAAGAACCCAGATAAAAGTTGAGTGTGGTGGCATATGCCTATAATCCTAGCACCAGGGTAGGGGACAGGTAGATCCTAGGGGCTCATTGTCCACGAGGCTAGTCAAAATGGCCTATGTCCAGGTTCAGTCATAGACTCTGTCTCACAAAAGTGATCCAGAAAGAAATTCTAACTGATTTCTGGTATCCACATGTACTCTGGGCGAGTGCATCCATACACACATGTACAGTAGAGAGAGACAGACAGACAGAGAGAAAAAGAAGGGAGGGAGGGAGGGAGGGAGGGAGGAAGGAAGGAGGAAAGGGAGGGAGGGAGGAAGGGAGGGAGAGAGAAAGGGAGGGAGGGAGAGAGGGGAGGAAGGAATAAGAAAGAAAGAGAGAGAGAGAGAGAGAGAGGGAGAGAGAGAGAGAGAGAGAGAGAGAGAAAGAAAGAAAGAAAGAAAGAAAGAAAGAAAGAAAGAAAGAAAGAAAAAGAAAGAAAGAAAGAAAGAAAGAAAGAGTGTTTTAATCAGAAATTTTATTGCCTGCAATGAAACAGCATGACCAAAAAGCAAGTTGGGGAGGAAAGGGTTTATTTGGTTTACACTTCTGTATCACTGTTGATCATCAAAGAAAGTTAGGACAGGAATTCAAGTAGGACGGAAACCTGGAGGCAGGAGCTGATGCAGAGGCCATGGAGGGGTGCTGCTTGCTGACTTGTTCCATGTGGCTTGCTCAGCCTGATTTCTTACAGAATCCAGGACTGCCAGCAAAAGGATGGCCCCACCCACAATTTACTGGGCTCTCCCACATCAATCACTAATTTAAAAAATGGCCTACACAGTTTGCTGCAGCCAAATCTCATAGAGGCATTTCCTCAGCTGAGGCTCCCTTCTCTCAGATGAGTCTGTCTTGTGCCAAGTTGACATAAAAGCAGCCAACTCAGGAAGACTGATTTTTTTATATCTCTATCTAATACATTTTTTTAAATTAAGCTAATTTTTAAAAAGCTGCCACATAATGTAATAATTTTATCATGCATAAAAATTAGAAAATGGGATTGGATAACTATTCAGTTGTTAATATCACATACTGCTCTTTCAGAAGACCCAAGTTTGATCCCTAGCATCCATGTTGAGTGGCTTATAGCCACCTGAAACTTTAGCACCAAAGGATAAATGCCTCTTGCTTCCACAGGCACCTGCTCTCATTTGCACAACCATACACATAGACACAGATATTACACATAACTTAATAAAATGAATCTTTAAACAGAGAAAGAGAAAATAGGTGTATGAAAAATAATTAGGAGCAAATCTACTTCATGGGGCTCCATTATTTCATTTTAATATTAATTAAAATAACATCCTATTTTTGCATGGATCTGAATTCACATGTCTCCTGAGTTTGGGATATTATTATTCTCAGGAACCCAATTATTTTTCAATAAAAATCCCTAATGGCCTATTCCTTAATCCACTGGAAATACTTCCACATACTAAGTTAATAAATTTCTTTACATTTTTTAAAGTTTAAAAATATCTGAGTTTTGCCGGGCAGTGGTGGCGCACTCCTTTAATACCAGCACTCGGGAGGCAGAGGCAGGTGGATCCCTGTGAGTTCGAGGCCAGCCTGAGTTACAGAGTGAGTTCCAGGAAAGGCGCAAAGCTACCCAGAGAAACCCTGTCTTGAAAAATCAAAAAAAGAAAGAAAAAAAAATCTGAGTTTTGAATTGTAGGTCAGGCTCTTGCTTAGTGTCAGCAAATATTAGAGTCACACTATTTTTAAGTGTTTTATTTCGTGTTACATGCTACCATGAGTTGGTACATGGGTTTCGGAACCAAATCTGAAGATATCTCTGGCTATATGTTAACAGGCCACAGAATAAATACATCACTTGGGTGTATGAAAAGTGTTGGGAAAAACATAGAGTCCATGAAACTTCTAAGGAAAATGGGAAAAATGATAAACAGACAAGTCTGAAACTATGAACAGCACCATGCTGAGGTAATCCAATGACAGACACCACTGAGGTGCATGAAAGGATCTGTGTTAGTGGAAATAAGTGAATAGCAAAGCAGTGAAAGAATGCTCTACAGACAGCAGATACATGGGGCAAGATTACTGAAGGGCTGGAAAGATGGCTTAGCTTATAAAGACACTTGCTACACAAGCATGAGGACCTGAGTTTGAGACCTGCCTCCCACGTGGTAGGAAAGAACTAACTCCTGCAGGTTGTTCTCTGACTTCTACAGAAATACTACCACAGCACATGCATGTCCACATATAGACACACAACTAAATAACTAAAATAAGTAAATAAATAAAAATAAAAAGTAAATAAAAAGGCTTGTAGATGGCTCAATTGGTAAAATATTTGCCACAGAATCATGAGAACCCAAATTTGATCCTTAACATTCATGTGAAAAGGTGGGCATAATAGTGTTTATCTGCTACCCAGAGTTAGGGAGGTAGGGGCTTAATAACCAGACCAGTCTAGCCAAATTGGTGAGTTCTTGATTTAGTAAGAGACCATATCTTAAAAGATATGGTGGAGAAAGTTAAAGAAGGCAGTGGTGACCTCTGGCCTCCATATGCACAACAACACAGATATATCTGCACACATAAAAATGATAGATGGTAGACTGATGATAGATAGATAGGTAGGTAGATAGATAGATGATAGATAGATAGATAGATAGATAGATAGATAGATAGATAGATAGATAGATGATAGATAGATAGATAGATAGATGATAGATAGATAGATAGATAGATAGATAGATAGATAGATAGATGATAGATTAGATAGACAGACAGACAGACAGATGGACGGACAAACAGACAGAGGAACAGATAAATGGATCCCTCCTCTACCCAAAGTTTCTGTCCAGGAGAAACTGAAATAAAAGTTTTTCCTAAATGGAGGGAGAAAGGACAGCAAGTTAGTACAGCCGGCTTCCCCAGAAGTGCCGTTCTCAGAAACTGTCTACATACAAAAAAATATTTGGCCAATGGGCATCCACGTCAAGATGCCTTATGCAACACTTGCTAAACCTAAAGCCATCTTTTATTTTCCAATCCTTGGTGAAAAGAATAATTCTTAACACCTCTGGACTATGCAAAAATATTTTCACCAAGGGAAATGGGCTGAGTAAAGAAACAAGGAAAATAAACACCATTTCTACAAAAATGTTCTATTATTCTAAATTTTTTATAGATTTATTGATAGTATTATTATTATAGACAATCAGAAGAACTACAATTGTCTTAACATCTCTTCAGTCCTAAATATCACTGAGAAAAAAAGTGATTTACCAAATACACTGTATAGAGAGGTATGAGTTTTACATGAAAACAAACAAAAAGAAAATTCCTTCCAAATTGCACAGGAGACTATAAATGTTAGATATAAGAACTCTAGTCTGAGAACTATCCCATTTTATGTACTAATTATTAGAATGGAAAGATAATTGCTTCAACATTTAAAAGGAAAACATTTTGCAGTTTGGCAAAATAAGTTGCCAGAATTGACTTATTCGATGAATGATCATTTATCCAAGGCAAGTTTCCCTTTTTTGTTGTAGCAGAGAACTAACCATCTGAACAATGAGACTGGCTGGTCCATAACTATTCAGACCCAGTAAATGAGAATCAGATCCATGGTACTGTGAAGTCAAACAAAAATAAGTAGACAGATCCTGGATTTGACAGGGTGCAATTTACTGGGGGACATGCTCACAGAAACATGGTTATGGGCAAGAATAAGACCAAGTGTGTCTTGAAAGTTGAGTCAGAATGAGAGGATCATATAACCAAGTGAGTCCTGAAAATTGAGGCAGAAGGAGAGGAGCATATACTGGTTAGGACAGAGTGATCTCATCCCAGTCAGGACACACTTCATTAATCTTGATCTAGTATCAAAGAAACAGGCACGTTGTGAACAACAGTGTTGGTCTGGACAGCTCTATATACAGCTGTGTGTACTACTGTATTGGTTTTGTGTGTATATAGCTTGCTGGGAGTTATTCAGAATTACTCTGGCCATATCATAACTATTATATCTCAAGATGGCTGCAGTCATTTCAAACTCAATCCATACAGTCAAGATGTCTACAGCTAAATTAAGACTAAATTAGCAGTCAAATGATTAAATTTATACCATGGAGAAGTACCTCTTTCTTTTAACCTCTTCATATTTAATTCATTATAGCAAATGTTTTATTACAATAAGTTTTTTCATAACAGAATTTTAAAATATACTATATTTACTCTATGTGTGTGTGTATGTGTGTGTGTGTGTGTGTGTGTATGTGTATACAAATTGAAGGAATTGATTTTCTCCTCCCATTGTGTATGTCCCAGGAATTGAACTCAGGTAACTAGGCTTGTTGGTAAGTGCCTTTAACCACTGAGTCATCTCACTAGCCCACAGCTGGATTAAAGAAAAGAAAACTAAGAATGAATTTTCTTATAGTTATGTATATGTACAATTATTATAATTATAATATACATTAAACAATATTTTAATGTGAAAATTCAGTTATGTTAGTCTCTGAAGTACATTAGGACAGATTTTTTAAATATAATTCTGTCTTTAAAAGCTTAAAAATTTTGGATTAATGTTCTTAACCTTGCCTTTATCTTGAAGAAACAGAAAATTAGTAAAACCATGACCTAAATCCACCCCTAGAAATTAGGATTTAATTGGTTTGATTGTAGATTTTAGTAGTCTGCTGGTGACTCAACTGTTCAGCAGGGTTTGAACCACTATTCAAACTCTAGCTTATCTATCTTTCATTAGTAAAGCTTTTTCTCTAAAGTAATATTTAGTGCATTAGTAGAAACAATCCAAAGACAATCCCACTTACAATCAGAGATGCTGTAGTTTTTCACTCTGGAACTGAAATTCATAGTATGAACTAATACCAAAATAGTATCCTTTATACCACCTAAAATTAAAACCAAAAGCAAATACAGAAGAAAAACAATAATGTGGTCCTTGCTAGATATTACAAGATGCTAAAAAAGCTACTTATGAGAATTAGCATGTGATTGATAGGAATTGTGTAGAAGAAAGCAGAGACCCCAGGAAGATCCTAGGAAGTGCACATGCAAGTCATCAGAATCTTTCCAAACACTAAAAAATGTAACCCATAGAAATTTCAAATAAGTGTGTTCTAAAGATGTAATCAGCTCTTTCACTGGTGACAAGTGGAGCTGGTATAAAGCAGACTATCAGGAATGCAACTTAGAGAAGAACAAATGCTGCTCAGAAAGCTGGTCTAAGAGTGAGGAGATGTCATGTTCACCATTGGAGCCTCAAGCCTAACAGAGGGAATGGAAGATAAAATAAATGACAAAACAAACTCTTATTGAATTAGCATATATTGAATGCCTTTGCAACCACTGACAAATAGAAAAGTAGAGAATTTCACCAAAAAAAAAAGCCATAGGAATAGTTTGACCTGATGATAACAACGCTTACACTGAAAGATAAATATAATAGATTTAAGCTTTATAAGTACAAATCCAGGTATTTTGTAAAATCCAGGATAGAAAATCCTGTGTACAGCTTTATCACATCTATCTTTAATGGGGCAGAATCACCACTACAAGGCTTTTCAACCTACCCTTTTGTTTTATTTATAGGGAAATGTGTCCTTCATGTGTCCACAACCACAGACAGTTCCAGTGACTTTTCTGAGTTCTAAGAGTTATCTGGCTTTGCCAGGCAATTTAAGGGAAGATAAAATGTCCCTCATTTTTCAGTTTCGAACGTGGAACAAGGCAGGACATGTGCTTTTTCGGCAACTGGAGCATGGTTCAGGAAGTTTGATCCTCTTTCTTAGGGATGGAAAACTCATACTGAGCCTCTCTGAGCCAGGACAACCCCTGTGGAACAACACAACAGGTAATATATAACCCTAAACCTCACAAACAAGAGTCAGTCTGTAGAATCAGTAAGGGATGGAATAAGATGTTTGATGTTTCTATTTGAAAAGAGTTTGACCTCTCTTCAGATTACTCAAGACTTTATATTGTGACATGCAACCATTACAACAGTAATATTTTGGCTCAAAATGTTCAGATACAAAAATAAAAATGTATATTTCTGCAGACAAAAATACCAATATACCTGAACATGCATGTGATATCCTTAGGCTCTGTTTCCTGACAGACCTAACTTCCATCCAAAAGAAATACAGGAGGATCTCATAAAGTAGGCACAACATAGAAACATTCACTTTTCTTCTTGCTTCCCAGATTCTCCCTTTTGCTTTATGTATTTTTTGTTTGGTGGGGAGATATTCTGTAACAGAGTAGATGATTGATAACCACAATTCTGTCATGAGAGGTGCTAACAAAGAACAAGAAGCCTTATTCTTTCACTGATTGATGTTTGATCATTTCCCCGGTTAGCCTGTATATTAGTCAGGGTTCTCTGTGGCAATAGAACCAAAATATGCATATATTATAAAAGATTTATTTAAACTATAGAAGGCTAGATAATCTAAGAATGGCCTTGTATGCCCTAGAGAAGCAGAAATCAGGTAGCTGTTCAGTCTAAGAAGCTAAAGGTGTCCATACTCCCTGACATGAAGACACAGAAGCTCCCTGGAGGGTTGGTGACATAGAGTCCATGTTGGAAGGTGAAAGAAGCTATAGTCTGATGTTTAAGGGCAAAAGCAGCAGGGAACAGAAGTGCTCTTTCAGCAAGAATGGAACTCAAATGTGTGGACTAGCTTCTTCAACAATCTTTCCTCTATCCACCTTCAGCTCTCTAATTGTGATACCCACATTCAGAGAGAGTTTCCCACCACTGTCTTACATGTCAATCCTCTACTGAAGTGACCCCACAGATATAACCAAAAGTTCACTCATGAAATCTCTTCTATTTCCCCTTCCCAGGGAGATCTGGGTGTCCCCCCATCAATCCTCCTTGTTACTTAGCCTCTCTAGGGCTATGAATTGCAGCCTGGTTATTCTTTATTTTACAGCTAATATCCACTTATGAGTGAGAACATATCATGTTTGTCTTTCTGTGTCTGGGTTACCTTACTCAGGATGATTTTTTCTAGTTCTATTCATTTGCCTTCAAATTTCCTGATGTCATTGTTTTTAATAGCTGAGTAATACTCCATTATGTAAATGTACCATATTTTATTTATCCGTTCTTTGGTTGATGGACATTTAGGTTGTTTCCAGGTCTGGCTATTACAAATAAAATTGCTACAAACATATTTGAGCAAGTGTCCTTGAGGTATGATTGAGCATCCTTTGGGTATATGACCAAGAGCAGTATAGCTGGGTCTTGAAGTAGGTTGTTTCCCAGTTTTCTGAGAAACTGCCACACTGACTTCCAAAGTGGCTGTACAAGTTTGCACTCCCACCAACAATGGAGGAGTGTTCCCCTTGTTCCACATTCTCTCCAGCATGAGCTATTGCTTGTGTTTTTTATCTTAGCCATTTTGACAGGTGTAAGATGGAATCTCAGAGTCATTTTGATTTGCATTTCCCTGATGGCTAAGGATGTTGAAGATTTCATGAAGTGTTTCTGGGCCATTTGAGATTCTTCTGTTGATAATTCTCTGTTTAGATCTGTACCGCATTTTTTAATTGGAATATTTGGTTTATTAATATCTAGTTTCTCAAGTCTTTATATATTTTGGGAATCACTCCTCTGTCAGATGTGGATTAGTGAAGATCTTTTCCCCATTCTGTAGGCTGCCTTTTTGTCATATTCATAGTGTCCTTTGCCTTACATAAATTTTTCGTTTCATGAGGCCCCATTTATTAATTGTTGATCTTGGCGCCTGTGCTATTGGAAGTCGTCTCCCATGCCAATGCATTTGAGATTATTTCCTACTTTCTCTTCTATCAGGTTCAGTGTATCTGGATTTATATTGATGACTTTGATCTACTTGTATAGAGTGATAGGTATGGATCGATTTTCATTCTTCTACATGCCAACATCCAGTTAGACCAGCACATTTGTTGAAGATGCTTTCTTTTTTTCCACTATATGATTTTGGCATTTTTGTCAAAAATCTAGGTATCCATAAGTGTGTGGATTTATGTCAGGGTCTCTGATTCATTTCATTGATCCACTTGTCTGTTTTTATGCTAATACCTTGTGGTTTTTATTACTATAATTCTGTAGTAGAGCTTACAATCAAGAATGGTGACACCTCTGGAAGTTTTTTTATTGTACAGGATTATTTTAGCTATCCTGGATTTTTTGTTTTTCCATATGAAGTTGCGTATTGTCCCTTCAAGGTCTGTAAAGAATTGTGTTGGAATTTTAATGGGGATTGCACTGAATCTGTAGATTGCTTTTGGTAAGATGGCCATTTTTACTATGTTAATCCTACTGATCCATGAGCATGGGAGATCTTTGCATCTTCTGATATCTTCTTCAATTTCTTTCTTTGAAGACTTGAAGTTCTTGGCATACAGGTCTTTCACTTGCTTGGCTAGAATTACACCAAGATAGTTTATATTATTTGAGGCTATTGTAAAGGATTGATTCTCTGATTTTTTTCTCAGCCCATTTATCATTTGTATGTAGGAGGGTTACTGATTTTTGTTGTTGTTGTTGTTAATCTTGTATCCAGGCACTTCACTAAAGGTGTTTATCAGCTGCAGGAATTCTCTGGTAGAGTTTGGGGAGTTGCTTATGTATACTATCATATCATCTACGAATAATGATACTTTGACTTCTTCCTTTCCAATTTATATTCCCTTGATTTCCTTTAGTTGTCTTATTTCTCTAGCTAAAACTTCAGTATTATATTGAATAGGTATGGAGAGAGGGGACAACCTTATCTTATTCCTGATTTAAGTGGAACTGTTTTGAGTTTCTCTCCATTTAATTTGATATTGGCAATCACTTGCTGTATATTGCTTTTTATTATGTTTTGTACCTTGTATCCCTGATTTCTCCAAGACTTTTATCATTAAGGGGTGTTGGATTTTATCAAAGGCTTTTTCAGCATCTAATGAGATGATCATGTAGGATTTTTTTTTCTTTCAGTTTGTTTATGTGGTGGATTGCATTGAGCGATTTTCATATGTTGAACCATCCCTGCATCTCTAGGATGAAGCCTATTTGGTCATGGTGGGTGATCTTTTTAATGTGTTTTTGGATTCAGTTTGCCAGTATTTTATTATTTTTGCATCAATGTTCATGAGTGAAATAGTTCTGTAATTCTCTTTCTTTGTTAAGTCTATGTGTGGTTTGGGTACCAGGGTGACTGTGGCCTCATAGAAAGAATTTGGCAATGATCGATCATTCTGTTTCTATTTTGTGGAATAATTTGAAGGGTATTGGTATTAGCTCTTCTTTGAAAGTCTGGTGGAATTCTGCATTAAAAACCCATCTGGCCCTGGGCTTTTTTTGTTGTTGTTGGGAGACTTTTAATGACTGCTTCTATTTCCTTAAGTTATTGACATATTTAAATTGTTTATCTTATCTTGGTTTAACTTTGGTAAGATGTATCTATCAAAGAATTTGTCCATTTTTTTTAGATTTTCCAATTTTGTGGAATACTATTTTCTCCTTAACAGTAACCACTCCCTGGATCAAGTGTAAAATCTTGAGTTAAAAACATATGTAAACTTATATCAGACATTTTGTTGAATTCATTAATCAATGAAGGAACAAGTATTGACAAAACGAAGATAAAATCACTTGCTTATTCAGTGAATTCCCTTCACAAGGTAGAAAACAACGAAATAGTTTTATTACTGGATATGTATTAACTGAGAATGTAAGGTGTCTCAGATAATTGCTAATGAGATCACAGAGACAAGTTATCTCATTCTTTTTTAGAGAGGTTTTCTTGTGTGTGTGTGTGTGTGTGTGTGTGTGTGTGTGTGTGTGTGTGTGTGTGTGTGTGTGTGTGATGTGTGTACAGGTATTCTCAGAAGCCAGAAGAAAACATTGTATGTATCCCTAGGAGCTAGAGTTACAGGCAGTTATCAGCTGTGGGACATTGGTACTGGTAACCAAGCTCAGGTCTTCTGGAAGAGTAGTAAGTGCTTTTAACACTTGAGCTATTTCTTCCTCCCCAGCATCGCTTCCTTTGATGTAACAGCCAGATTTAGCCCATTGTATATGTACGCTCAAGACAAAAAAAAAAAAGTTGTCTTCAAGCAGAGTTTCATAGTACTAATTGCTACCCAAGTTCAACCTAAATTTCTCTGGTGATTTGCCTTTGTCCAGAGGAAAACCAAAAATCTAATACCTCTTTGACAAGAATATAGTTACAATTTACAGCTCCACCTAAGCTAAAATCCTGCAGAGAGATATGCTGGCTTCTTTGATGCCTATATTTCAAAGAAATGTCTCCAAGGACCTAAGAAAAGCATGCCCCTGAGTTGTAAAAGAACTGGGTAGAAATTTTAAAGCATTTATGATACTTCAAAGCAACAGAAAGAATTTACACATTTTCTAAAGGAAATGTTTTTAAAACAAAGAAAGGCTAAGTCTCCATCATTGGGAAGATGCATGTGCTTGTTTTTACATTTGTGTTTACCTCTTTATACACTAGTAAAGCCAGTGCAAAAGAGGGTTCATAAGTACTATACACTTCTAGCCAAAACAAATGCTAAAAATGAAATTACAAATGCAAATTCAGCCAGCTCTGACCATCCAAACAAAAAGAAGAATTTCACTGTATAGAGTGTGTTGACTGTGGATGAGATGCACTATTATCTGTTTTCTATAAGTTCATTTCAATCACTTCAGCTAGTTGAAAAAGCATTTTGTCAAAGAGAAAGGTTCACAACCTTATATAATCAAATTAACCCTTTCCTACAAAAGACAGATACCCAGAGATCTCTTTCCTCCATTTTGAAGACTATTTGATTTTTTTCTACAGTAATTATTGTTGATGTGTTTTATGTATTTTTGGTGCAATGAAGTGCTGAGAAAGCATTTTCTGCAGTTCTGGCTTACACAATAACTATAATTAAATCTAATAAATATCTTAAATCAACTAGTATTTTGCTTTATTTCATAGGTTTATGAGAGTGATATTTTGTCACTGAATATAAAATGCTGTAGTTCTTGGCAAAAGAGCACATGAAAAAAAGTTTAAAATAGTATCTATACTATACAAATGGCTTAATTAATTTAATAATTTCTAACTTAAATGTAATGAATTCTACTGAATCTTTTTTTTCAGTATAAATTAGAGGAGTGACATATAGAAATGGCTTAGCTATAAAGAGCTTTTGTTGTTTTTCCAGATGACTGAAATTTGGTTCTCAACACTCATGTGAAAGGATTCACAACTACCTATAACTCCAGCTTCTGGCCTCCACAACCCACACACAGGGAGCACACACACACACACACACACACACACACACACACACACACACACACACATCTTAAAAAAATAAATAAATAAAAATAATAAATAATGATGTTTTAAAATACCTGCAGTCAGACTATTATCATGTGTTCATTCACACAACACTTGAACATATACTAATTAGTACATGTATAAGCCTGACTAATTAATGACTAAATCAGTAAGATGTCACAATCAGTTAGTTAAAAAGGAGAACTCAAAGCACTATACATATTTAAAGATAAGTAATTCAAAAACGAATTTATAGACAGATATAAGTCAGTTCCATAACCAACTGTATCTTAACAGGCATTATAGTTTGTATTTGTATGGACAAAAGTAACTTTGCCTTGCTGTCAGTTTCCTGCAATTAACAGCTATGAAGTAGCTTGCTTGGTGAAAAGCACAGTGCTTGTCTGAATGCCACTGCTTCCCCCACCACCCCTCACCCCCACCATTGGCAGCTCAGTGATCTTTCTCTCCCATTCAAAACCCTTCACAATTGCCCTTGACTCAGGTTTATAATTCATTCTTCTAACTTTTCAAAATAATTTCTTTTTGTTAGATTCAGTGAAGCCAGTAAATTTTGCATTTGAGGACTGAAGTAAATTGCATTTTGAACTCCATTGGTAAAGACTTTTGGCATATATATTTGAATAATTAAATTTAAGGCAGAGCTTTAAGTGTGTTATCATCATTTACTGCAAGGATTCTTTAGAGGAGGTGATGCTTTCCTCAGGTATTGTCATAGTAAATGAATTCATTTCATTATAGAAAAATGGCTAATTTATTCCTCTCAGTAATATGTCTGCACATAAATCATGCTTTTCTCTTAATTATTCAGTGATACACTTTTCAAAATTTAGTTATCTGTAATTCCGTTGTTTTTCTAGGTGCTGTACTGAGTGATGGGCTGTGGCACTCAGTTTCCTTGTCTGCTAAGGGGAGCCATCTAAGCCTTGTGGTAGATGGAGACTCTGCTCAGACTCTGGTGTCTGTGTGGACTCATTCAAGCAATACTTACTATTTTGGAGGTAAGAGAAGGCAATTCCACTACATTGACCAACACTGGGGCCATTTGGTCTTCACTGTCCTTCATTATAAATCTCTTATCATATTTACATATTACATTAATACTGTGGTAATATATTGTGTACCCTAATAAATTTGTCTGAAGATCAGAGAACAGAACAAGCCACTAGATAAGAAAGAATTTCTTTCTTTCTTCATATAAATGTATTTGGTTTTCTTTTAAGAACAAAAATATTATTATTTCCCATACAAAAAGGAATATCTATAGAAAGTTTAGTTTGCTATTTCAATACTTCTTAATTCCACTTAATATCAAAGGAAACTACATTGTAGTTCACATGGAATTTCTCAAATGTCAAATACTATAATATAATTCACAAGCAGATAATGTTACACCTCTAAAAGTCAGATGGTAAAACATATCATATTGTCCATAGTAATTGTTTTACATGGAATCTTATGATACATTTTCAATCATTTTCTCAATAATAGTTCTGCCTTTCCATGAGCATGGGAAATGCCTTTTCATCTACTAGTGCTTTCTTCTAATTTATTTTTCCACTACTTAAGCTTTATTATTGTAGAGGTCTTTCATATCCTTGATTAGATTTATTTCTGCATATTTTTAAAGCTACTATGAATGGATTTCTTTTTCCTGATTGCTTTCTCAGCAAATTTGCTGTTGGTATATGTACAAATGCAATTGGTTCTTAAAAGTTGATTTGATATCATGCTGCTTTTCTGAATGTGTTTGACATATCTAAGTGTTTTCTGGCAGGGTCTTCAGGGTCTTTGAAGCATATGATCATTTAATCTGAAAACAGGGAAATTTTGACTTCCTCCTTTTGTGTTTGGCTCTTTACTTTCTTTTATTTTATTCCTCTCCAAGACATCAAGCACTATATTGAATAAGAGCAGAGAGAATAGGCATCCTTGTCTTATTCCAGAATTTAGAGTCAATAGTTTCAGTTTTTCTGCATTTATTGGAATATTCAAACCCTTGCTTTAAATTGGTGGTTCTCAACCTGTGGGTCACAACCCCTGTGGAGTCACATGACCCTTTCATAGATATTCTGTATATTAGATATTTACATTATGATTTATAATATTAACAAAATTTCACTTATGAAATAACAATGAAAAAAATTTATGGTTGGGGGTCACCACAACATGAGATACTGTATTAAAGGGTTGCAGCATTAGGAAGGTTGAGAACCATTCATTTAGATAGATATCTCATGTTATCCTGCAGATGTCTTTAAACTAAAAGCCATGTTAAAATGGTTAGTTGTGCTTTCCTTAACTAGAGTAGTCATTTTTATCCTTTCCTTACTTGGCAATATATGAATTAAAGCGCTATCATTAGGGTTATATTTTACAGCTCAGTAGAAGGTGGCAACATATTCAAGTTTTTGTATGTTTGGACTAAATGGGATAATACTGCTTAATTTAAATTACCCATACCCTTGCTCATATGTGTGCATGCTGTGTGTGTGTGTGTGTGTGTGTGTGTGTGTGTGTGTTACTGTGAGCTGAGCCTAAAACCTTGCTCTACCACTGAGTTATAGCCTTAAACCTCTTCTTACTTTTACTTTAAAACAATGTCTCATTAAGTTGCCCAAGCTGGCCTTGAGCTCACTGTTCATCTCAGGTAGACCTTGAACTTGAGATTAGTCTCCTGAATGTCTGGGATTACAGGCCTGTACCACAAGGTGCCACCTGATGCTCATGCTTCTTATATAAGTATTGCACTTCCAAAAACCCATGTAATAAAAAGAAACTATGACACAAGCATTGACACTTGTAATTCAGCTGAAACTAATTTGATGAGTGTGATAAAACAATATTTTACTTATCCTTTCTGAAATAACCAAGTGTCTGTTTTATTCTTTGTACCCATGGAATATTCTACACTGCTGACTTTTGTTTACTACCATGTATTCTAACCATGTGGGAGCTCCTAGTGTTTTTGGTGTTAAATTAGAGTATAGTCTTTGGTTAACACATGATTAAAGAACTTGATTTTAAAAATTAATAGAAAAGCCAACGTAAATATTTCTATCAAGTTGGAACACAAAATGTTTTAAAACAGTCTCAAATGCACATACATGACAACATATAAAACACCAACTGGGTAGGCATTTAATTTGTTTTAGATAAATTAGAGTATCCAACTGCATTTTGTAGGCAGCATTTTTCATGATTCAGGAAACCAGCACCTCTTAAATCAAGTGTGACCTCCAATTTAAACTATTCTAATTTTACCTCCATTTTCATTTCTTTCATGTATACAAAATTATGTTAAAATATATTAATATTATTGACAAGGTTTAAAAGAAAAGTCAAATTTCACTTGGATGTGCAACAGTTCTGGCTATGAAAATTGTTAATTTTATTTTTAATTTTTTAATTTATTTCAGTTTTTAAAATCCTCAATTCTAGTATTATTTTACCTTCAATCAGTTCTAACTTGTGTCCTTAGATTAGCCCCCTTTCTGATGAGGGCTGTCACTGTGTCAGGTAAGGTCAAAGTTCATTCCTCAAGGATGTCTACAAGCAGAAGCCTTCAGTCCCCAAGGAACAAACAGTTCTGTCATGGTCCTTGATTTTCTCATCTTTATGTCTCATACTCAGGCTGTCCCAACAACAACTCTAGCTTTGGATGTGAAAGTTCTTTTGGAGGCTTCCAGGGCTGCCTGGAGCTCATTTCTATTGGTGACAAAGTAGTGGATCCTATTTCAATACAGCAGGGAGTGCTGGGGGGCTTCAGTGATCTCCAGATAGATTCCTGTGGCATCATAGACAGGTAAGAGCTTTGCGGGGTCATTTTAGCATGTCTCTTTTCAAAATTTAAAGCTGAAAATAATATAGTCACATTCACAATGAAGATTAGACTCTTTTGCATCTCTCATTGTTTTAATTTTTTCAAATTATAGTACTTTATCAGAAGACATATTCTGTGTGACTATAGTAATGGCTCAGCTGTTAAGAGTTCATACTGGCATTACACAGAATCTGAGTTCAGTTCTCAGCATCCATGTCTGGCAGCTCACAACCACCTTTAACTCCAGCTCCAGATGCACTTATATTCCAGATGCAGATATTTTCCACTATATGTAGAATATATTCACTCAGACACATACATACAAATAAATGCTCTTTTTAAAATATTGGACCGGAGAGATGCAGCAGTTAAGAGCACTGAGTATTCTTCCAGAGGATATAAATTCAATTCCCAGCATTCACATTGGCAACTCACAACTGTCTGTAACTCCAATTCCAGATGTGACACCCTCTCCTGACTTCTGAGGGCATCAGACACACATGTGGTGCACAGACACAAATGAAGGCAGAACACCCATATACATAAAATAAAATATTTAAAGATTTTTTTAAGAGGATACATCCTTTATGAACTTTAATTCAAAATGGTTCCAGGTTCACAGTTACCTAGCTTGTTCATTGTACCCCCATACTGGCAGCCGATAATTCTGTGCAGTAGAATCAGATAAGCTACTATCTTTCAGTTTCTGGCACCAGACAAAACTGTCTCTTCTGCAGGATAAATATAAAGTAAAATTTTAGAGAAGCTTGAGCCACAGAAATCAATGAACACCGCATAGCAACATACTTAATGAAAAACAGAGAAACATGAAAAACATTTTAAGTTTTAAAAACTAGAGCTGGAAGATAGTTCAGTGGATAAAGCACTTGCCATTCAAATATGAGAACCTGAGTGTAGATCCTCAGAACCTATATAAATTCACAAACCAGAGTGTAAATCTGTAATCCCAGATGGTGAGATGCAAGGCAGAAACAAGATAACCTCTTGAAGCTCACAGATCAGCTTGCCTATTGTTTGCAGTAGCGAACAAAAGACCATTTCAAACAAGGGAGATGAGGACCAATACCTAATGTCCTCTGGCATCCACATGTGCATAACATGCTCCCCTCCAACACACACACAGAAGCAGACAAAAATGAGAAAGATTTTTTTCTAAAGAAAAGATGTTTCTCTGTCAGTTGCATTCTCTATCTGTAGCTGGAGTTTTCTCCAGTCCCACCCAGGCCCACAGCCACTCAGACCCAAATAAACACACAAAGGCTTATATTAATTAAAATTGTATGGCCTAATAGCTCAGGCTTCTTGCTAGCTAGATCTTACATCTTAAATTAACCCATTTTTATAAATCTATACCTTGCCACATGGCTTGTGACTTACTGGTATCTTTACATCTTGCTTCTCATGGCAGCAGCTGGCAACATCTCCTGACTCAGTCTTCCTATTCCCAGAATTATATCTGTAATGATTTTGGCAGAAAGTAATCACTTGCTCATTCATGGAAGAACATTATTTCAATAAATTCTATGCCCTGGTGTCTTCCTTTTGATGTCTGCTCTCAGCAACAATTAATGCTTATCATGGATGAAAATATCACAAAAATCTGTACAATTATTGTTATATGTCAACTAAAAATAAAGTAAAAATTAATTTATTAATGATACTGTTTAAAAATTAAATTATACTACAAATGGAATTTATTACATTCTACTATGTGGGGAAGAGTTAGTCATATTATTTTAAACATGAATTGTACAATTACCAGCTAAGCAAATTTTAGTTTATAATCATGTTTGATGATGTATTAAAAAAACATTGTTCCGCCGGGCAGTGGTGGCGCACGCCTTTAATCCCAGCACTCGGGAGGCAGAGCCAGGCGGATCTCTGTGAGTTCGAGGCCAGCCTGGTCTCCAAAGCGAGTTCCAGGAAAGGCGCAAAGCTACACAGAGAAACCTTGTCTCGAAAAAAAAAAAAAAAAAAAAAAAAAAAAAAACATTGTTCCTACCAAATGAAAAATTCACTTATAGGAATTTAATTTGGCACAGAATAATTTTTACTGTGAACATTGGGTTGATTTGTAGGAAAAGATAATTAATTTGAAGATAAAGGAGCATTGTGTAAGAAGTTGCTCTAGTTACTCTCATGATTGCCTATGGAATTAGAATTCTTGAAATAGACCCAAGACTGCATCCACAGGGAAGCCCCAGGCTCTGGTCACAGGAACGTGTTGGGAAGGCTCTGGTCGTGGGCTAACCAATAAACCTGCTTGCCAGGCAAGGTGCAGCCCCAACTCAGCCATCAGTACAATTCATAGGAGGTGTCTGACAGGCATACACGTGAGTGATGGAGGCTGTCAACTAGCAGGGATATGTGTGTGATTTTCTCCACTTGCAAGTTATTGCTTAGATATCTTACCAATGACTCATAAGACATGATAGGTTTATATCCAGTTCTCACTTTGTTCTTTCTTTCCTGCTTGTTTTGGCTGTTCAGGGTTCCTTGTGATTCTTATAAATTTTAGAGTAGATTTTCCATATTTGCAAAAAAGAAGGAAACAAAAGGTCACTGAGATGAAATTAGGCGGATCTGAGTGGTATTGACATTTTAACATTGTCTTTTAAAGGCAGATTGTTTACTCTAAAGGTAAAAGGCAACAACATGACTTTAAAAAATTATTCAATATTTCTCAAAATATGTTGCTATAACACAGAAAACATTTCTGTCCTTTCTTTCCTTCTTTTCTGCCACTCCTTTCATTAAAAATATCCACAATGTAGTAATTGAGCTTTAATAAATTTTATTTTATGTTTGAAATAAATTTTGCTAACCACATACTGTTAATGTTTTGATATTAGGAACAAAAAATAAGGTACATTGAAAATTTAGCTGTCATATGCAACAAAATTCACTGTCTAAAATTATAGTTATTAGAAACCTTGATGACAGACTGAGCACTCACTGGTCAGGTTGAGTTTCTATATATGCTACAAATCCATACAAATCCATTTTTTATATTTATTTTGTAATAATTAGACAAGGGATATAACAATTATGTTTGTTTTCTTATAGGTGTTTGCCTAGCTACTGTGAGCATGGGGGTGAATGTGCCCAGTCATGGGACACCTTCTCCTGTGACTGTGAAGGCACAGGTTACACTGGAGCAACCTGCCATTCCTGTAAGTGTCACAACTCAGTCCTTGTGTGTTTGTGACTTCCTTGTCCTTTCACTATCTATTTTGATAATTTTGTTTCATTGTTTATTAGTTATGTTTATCTGAATATCTTCAACATGCAGACATATCAGAATAAGTATTGCAGCACTCAACTAATGTCTGGTTTATTTTAAGCCACCTTTATTAGAGGATTTATTAAGGCAACTCCACATAGTTAGAAGGGAGGTTTATTTTGGGGTAACTTACAGCAAGTAAAGGGATAGGTTACAGGATCCGGGAGAGGTGAAGTACAGTCCAGCAGTGTTCTCTGGAGAACTCTGCTTAGTCTATATCCAGCATCCAGGATCACCAGGAACCAAGAGAGATGGCACATTTGGATCTCAGGTCTTAAGGGCTCCCGTCTCAGGCCCACCTCAGAGGCAGATTATAAGTAGGTGTGACAGTTACCGAAAGCCTCACTGGGGGTAGTAGTTCCAGGTCAAAGCTGTAACAGCTACCCACTACACACCTTATTTATTGTTTATTTATATATTTGCTTAGTTGATGCTGCAGCTTAAACCTAGGCCTTGTGCATGACTGACAAATACTGTACCACTGAGCTACAGCCTCAGCACCCAACCTCATCTAATACCAGGGCAGCAAGAGAATGCACATGTAATGCTAAGTAGAGTAAAAGTGAACCTTGTCATCAGTAGTAAAATAAGTACAGGAGAATAAGATACAGAACAAGGAAGTGGTTGGGTGGGAAGGTGCTTCCTGTGCAAGCATGAGGGTGTGAGGTCCCAGCCCCACATAAAAGGATAGACATGGCAGTTTGCCTGTAATGTCAGTTCTAGGGAGACACAGAGAAGAGGATCCCTGGGGCTACTGGCCAGCCAGCCTAAGCAAATTGGCAATCTCTAGGTTGAGTGAGAAACCTCATCTCAAAAAATGAAGTGGAAGCTGGAAATAGTGGCATAGACCTTTAATCCCAGCACTCAGGAGACAGAGACAGGCAAACCTCTGAGTTTGAGGTCAGCCTGGTCTACAAATCAAGTTCCAGGACAGCCAGGGCTACACAGAGAAATCCTGTCTTAAAAAAAAAATTAAATTAAATAAGGTGGAGAGCTGTTAATAAGAAACCTAAAGTCAACCTCTAGTCTCCACATGCATGTGCACAACATGCATGTACACACATGTGTATACACATACACTCATATGTACACATATATGCAAACAAATATACACACACAAATAAAACTTTTCAAAGTAAATCTAGAATGCATACTGTAATACCTTGTTCCTTTACTTAGGGTTTAATTCCTACAATCCTTTCAGTCAGAGAAAGGTGAAAAATAATCATTTGCCAAGATTTCTCAAGCTTGAATATATTATAGTTAAAGATTTAAAAAAAAATACCCACTGGATAGAAGTGCTACATGGTAAAGTTTTAGAAGAGGCAATTAAGGTCTCTTAAATCATGATTTTCTTTGGTGGAGATGATAATGAATCATAAGGAGTGTACTTATTGAGTTTTTAAATATGTCTGTCTTTTTCTAGTGAGTTCCATGAATTAACTCTTTAAACTCTAGAGGAGCTTCAGAAATAAAAAATTACTGTTACTTTCATTGTAAAGACTAGGAGAAAAAGAGGTTAAGTAGCTTAACATCCAGCTAGTTGATGACAGTAAGAATTTGAGCTGAGGAAGTTTACAGAACTTTCTCTTTAGGATGTCTGAAAGGTGGTCTTCAGACAATAGCACCTGAAGTAACTAGGAACTTGTAACAATTATAAACTCTAGATCTCACCCAAATGTACTGAACCAGATCTCAGGATGTGGGAATGTGTTATGGAAGAAACATAAATGGACATGTGTTCCAGCTTTAATTTACACATCAAACAATAAATATATCTGTATATGTTATAGGTCACAGAATGGTTACAAAGGGGTTAAAAGGTCATAACAAACTTCAAGAAATTCAAAGATACCTTACTGGAGGCAGGGACAAAGATCTGGTAGAGATGCGAAGAGTGTCACAGTAGGTGGTTTACTAAGATGTTAATAAACAATGAATACAATAGAGAGCTGTTGAAAGTCTTACAAAGCCAGGCACAAGCTCTGGTCTAGCTTCAGATATAAGGTACAGCATCTCTGGACAGTGGAGGTTAGGTGCAGGTCCAGGTCCAGATGAACAAATAAGTGAATCAACGGTGATTCAAGTAGGTTCCATCAGTAGATGGCATCAAGCTAAGCTGACAACCTATCAATTCTATGCTTGTTGATCACTTGATGCACACACCAAGTGGTCAGGTGATGGCCCACCTCCACACTGTTAGGAATCCTCCTCTTGTGGTGTCCAGGTAAAAATATCATATCCTCCCTTGACCTGGGGTATTAAAGTTTTCAAGCCTTTGTTTTTCTGTTATGAGTCTAACATACCATGTAGTACAGTAGGCCCAATCTACTTTGATGAGTTTATGTTGCTGTACCTTTTTACTTCTAGGAAAAAGTTATTTATCATCCTGTGCCTGTGTGTAGTACTGGACAGGTGGTATTACTTACATGAACACCAAGATTCAGAGTTGTCCTGCCTCTGTGTTTGAATTCAAGTGTTAGGGTTAGAGTTAGGATTAGGGTTTGGGTTAGGGTTAGGGTTAGAGTTAGGGTTAGAATCGCCCTGCCATGTGTTATATTTGAGGCTGAAGACCAAAGATGTTTATGCAATGGAGCCTTCCTGGGCAAAGAATAGCCTAAAAAGCCACTGTTCACACAGAATGGAGTGGCTAGAGCAGGCATAGTCTCATCCCAACAGTGTGCTTTAATCAACCTCTTTTGTGTTTTTGATGGACATAGCAATGTGAGATTTCTAGGAGATGGCATTCTATACTGTCTCTCCTGTATTAGAAAATCATCTATCTTGGGATTTCCAGATGACTCAGTGGGTAAAGGAGTTTTCTGGAACCCACATAGTAGAAGAGAACTAATTCCTGCAAGTCGTCCTCTGACATTTACACACACAGTGTGTTACATACCCCTCAACACACAAAATAAATAAAATAAGAAAAAATATTAAAGTAGTCTATCTTTACTGAAGAATTATTCTGCTTATTTTAAAGTCCAGATTATTTTATTGACCACCAACTTGTTAATAATTAGAACATGGAAGAAGCTAAAACCTCACTTTTTTCTGTTTGTTTTAATATTTTCTTTTACTTTTAAGATATTTTTTCCTGTGCTGGAAAGATGACTCAATGATTAAGAGCACTAGCTGCTCTTCCAGAGGACCTGTGTTCAAAGCACACATATGGATTCTCGCAGCCACCCACAATTCCAGTTCCAAGGGATTAAATTCCCTATTCTGACCCCTTGAAGCACCAGCTACATGCATGTTACATAGATATATGTGCAGGAAAAGCACCCAAAAACATAAAATGAAATACAAATATTTTTCTTTATGTTACCAATAAAAAATAATCTCTCATCTCAAAGGAAATAAGAGATAGGTAGGGGAAAAGGCTTTTAGGAGACTAAAGATTGCCAGGATGATTTGGGCACTGGCACTGTATCTGCAGCATTCCAACTTTCTACAATTAATAGTAGAAATAGTCTTATAGAATCTTTAACAGAAGTATAACTTTGTTCTGGGAATTACAGATAATTCCTGTGCATCTCCATGATGTTTCTAAGAATTTCTCCTTAGGAACAATTCACTCACACTAAGTCTTTATGAAAATGGTTTAAGACATTGTCTTAGTCAGTGTTCTATTGCTGTAAAGAGACACTATGACCACGGCAACTCTTATAAGAGAAAGCATTTAGTTGGGGCTTGTTTACAGTTTCAAAGGTTCAGTCCTTTATCAGCATGGTGGTGATACACAGACATTGTAATGGATAAGGTGCTGGGAGTTCTACATCTGGAGCAGCAGGCAGCAGGAAGTGAAAAAGTCATTGAGCATGTCTTGGATCCTTGAAACCTCTAAGCCCACACCAAGTGACACATTTCCTCCAACAAGACCACATCTATTCCAGTGAGGCTTGTGGGAGGCCAGCTCTCACTTTTTCCCAGGATGCTCTTGAGGAGAGAGGGATAATATTTAAATAGAAAGATAGTGTGGAAAAGACAGACAGAAACACAGGGTAGCTTCAGGAGGATCGGGATCAATACCCACCAGCCCCTTCTGTCTCTTCAAAAGGGCTTTTTATAGGAATGACAAGGGGCTGGGCAAAAGACCTCCCCCTAGCACAGCCAAGTGCAGACCCTTCCAAACACCTGGTAACCACACACATAGTCAAGCCATCCTCTAATGCAGCCCTGCTGGAGAAAGCAAGCTCAGATCTCACTAGGAAACCTCTGTGGATCCCCACAGAGGCCACACATTCGAATCTCTCCTGTCCTGGCCGGCCAACAGGATCTTCAGCAGAACCCTAGAAGGGGGAATGGCAAATGAAAGGGACAAGAGACACAAAGAATTGACAGCAAGACAGTATTCTGATCAAGCTGCAAATTTTTATTTTTCTCAGGTGGGTTTTATAGTAAGCAGACCAGGAAACTTTCTTTGGGAAAAGATCAGGGGACTGTTGAGTTGCCAAGCAACCCAACCAAGCAACCTAACCACAAAACACTGTTACTAATGGTCACTGTAGCAGAAAGATAAGGAAATAAGTTATTTTCTAATAACTCAGGACTTGTCCAGGCATGACAAAAGTTTCTGGTTAGTGGCTCAATACTGGACAACAGAAACTTAACTCAGGCAGGCACTATGGCATGGCTCTTACTGTAACTGGAGTTTTCCTGCCTGGCCCACAGTCAGGGCAAATCTCTCTCACCTGCCAGTCCCACAGCACTCAGACCCAACCAAGTAAACAGAGACTTATATTGGTTACAAACTGTATGGCCGTGGCAGGCTTCTTGTTAACTGTTCTTACAGCTTAAATTAATCCATTTCCATTAATCTATACCTTGCCACATGGCTCGTGGCTTACCAGCATCTTCACATGCTGTTTGTCATCGTGGCGGCTGGCAATGTCTCTCTGACTCAGCCTTCCACTTCCCAGCTTTATTCTCCTCCTTGTCCCGCCTATACTTCCTGCCTAGCCAATGGCCAATCAGTGTTTTATTTATTGACCAATCAGCAACACATTTGCCATACAGACCATCCCACAGCATCTTACAATTGTCCTCGGCACTCTCCCAAGTAGTGCCACTCCCTGATGACTAAACAATTAAACATCTGAGCCTATGGCAGCCATTCTTATTCAAACCACCACAGACATCAAATCCTCAGTACCACCTGCTACTCACTCATACCAAGTGCCTACCAAAGTTTTTCACAACTCCATGAGATTTACCTGATGTTTTTCAAAAACTATAGTGGGGAGTCAGAGTATGGCATGCTATATCTCCACTTAGAGACACAAGTAAAATTAGAGGAGACCTATGGGCTCCCAGCAGTGAAGTTCTACATGAGCCTGTCAAGGGAGAAGACAATCTACCCCCAATCCTCCTGTGTATTGACTTGTCAAATATGCGTTAGGATTAGAATGACTTCAATTTCTACAGACACTTCACTTTTTTGTAGGGATTCCTCCAAAATCAGACCTGCCACAGTGATTAGATCTGCTTCCATAGGACTTCTACACTCTAAGCATAATATTGAACATCAAGTCCTGATGTCTTCCTTAACTCCTTTGTACCTTCTTGCATACCCATCATCTTCTCTTACATGGTATAGTTCATGAACTCATCTGGCTAATGCATGACTATGTACAGCATCAAAATATAGCTCCCAAAATATCAGAAGATTGAAAAGGGAAATAGTTAAATTTTAACATGATCTAATCATGTTCTTGATAATTATATGTTTTAGTAATTAGGGTTTTCAAATAGATATACCAAGTGAAGCAGGGTTTCAGCAAACCCTTGGTCATGAGACTTACTCATAAGTGGTCATTTTTGTTTTGGACAGTCACACAACTAATCCATGTATTTTTGTCATTAAAAAAGGTCAGGGGACTCAGAGAAACAAAAGTTTTAATCATTCTCCTTAGCATATGTTCTCTAGCTGAGCCTACAACCCAAATCTAACTATGGATATAAATTCTGTCAGACAATTAAATGCACACAAATGGAATAAACAATGACAAAACGGCAATCCATCTGACTTATGTTCCAACCTATAAAATTTATTGAAACAATACTGCTGACTTGAACAGTTTATTCTGGGCCATTCTAGGATGACAATATTGTTTGCCTTAAAGATGTTCAGAGTTAAAATTTATTCTTGCAAACTACAAACAAAAAGCAGTTTTATTGACTGAGGGGATATCTCATTTAGTTTAGTGTTTACCTTGTAAGCATGAAGACTGGAGTTCAATTTTCAGAACCAATGTAAAAAGCTGGGCATGGTATACCGTGCTTGTAATTTCAGTACTGAATAGGAAGAAATAGCACTCACTGACCAACCAGTCCAGTCTATTTGATGATTCCCAGGCCAACTAGAAAACTTGTGTTAAGAAAGGTAGACTGTGGGTGGCACTAAGGAAGTATATCTGAAGTTGCCATCTGCCTCATGCATAGATGCACAAATATGCACATGTGCATATGAATATATACATAGGCACACACAATTTCTAAAAAAGAAGTAGTTCTCTAAATATTCTATTTTATGAAATTGGAGAAAAATAACTCCCATACCTTTCCTTTGAATTTTCTTAAAATCCATGAATAAAGTCAGCCTAATCAGGATCAAAGAAAATTACATTTATATGAGGCTAATTTGGATTGCAATCCAAGAAGGCAATCTTAAAAATGCATTCCAAGGTTCTATTAAATAGCAATTGTATGTCCAGTGTTAAACCAAAGAAGGTTGGAAATCATTACTCCTTAGTGGAAATTATGATTGATGCTATTTTGTAAGAAAGAGTCTGGTTACAGTCACAGAGATCTCTGGGTAGTTTGGGGGAAAGGATTGTTGTTCAGAAGGTCAATAAAGGTTAATGATGTTCCAAGGACAATATGTGAGGGAATATGGGATTGGGCTTGCCTGCAGCCCAATTCAAATGTAGATAAATCTTAGGTAGATTAATGATGATCTCCTGAACTTACTTTAGCTTTTTGCACCAATATTACACAATTTGTGTTGTTTTCCTTGAGTTTTTGAAAATATTTTAGAATTAATATTTATGAAAGCAAGTGTAGAAAATTCAATGTAAAAACTGTATTTATGATAATAATATAGATGCATCCCATTTCCTTTACAAAATGTTTTTTGACACATTTCATTTGTTTAGTTGATTTGTCCCCAAAGATCAAAATGAGCTTTTTGTTACAGCAAAAGCTTGACCTTTGAAACTCTAATGAAAGGAACCACTAAGGCTGACATTCATCAAGTACCTTCTCCAAGGAGTTATACGCATTCTTAGCTTCAATGAATGGGTATTTCCTGTAGGTCAACATGTTACCTTGCTTATCTTTCTTTGGAGTTTAAACTGAAAGTTAAGAATTCCATATCTTGGTATGATATTTATATGCACAAAAGAAAATGTTCAATCACATACAATAAATTAACATTATATAAAAATATTTTCATGAAAATTTTTTCTCTCCTGTTTTGAATTTGAAGTATTATGATTTTTCATTTGCAAAATACTTAATGTTTTCCAATTATTTTTAATGAAGAGGAGTTACTGATTTATACTTTGCATTTATGTCTTTAAAATGTTCATTTAAAGCAAAGGATATTATTACTGAATTATTTTAAAGATATATTACAGTGTATTTTTTACCATATTACCTGGGTAAGTTATAACTAATATTTGCTGAATTTTAAGTTATTACAGTTAGAGTAATATTTCCTCCTTTAATTTTGACACTTAGTTCTGAAGAATAGTTGCCATGTGTTTGAACAGTACCATGAATCAACAGCATGTAGGATTGGGAGTCATAATTTCTCTAGAATACCTCCTAGGTCTTTAATACTGTGCTTCAAAATAATCATCCTTAACTTAAAAACAAAAGAAAACATGTACACAGATGGATTACACTCCTCACAGGTTACCAGATGATTTTCTATTGAAAGCGGTATCACATTCCCAATGTAACCTCCAATGTGTGGTGTGTGTATGTGTGTGTGTGTGTGCTCTCCTATGTATGAAAGGATGCCCATAAAGACCAGAAGAAGTGTCTACTCTATCTCTCTCCCACTTATTTCTTTGAGACAGGGTCTCTCATTGAACCTAGAGTTAGGTTGGTGGCCAGCAAGCCCCATTGATCCTCCCATCTCTGCCCTGTACAACGTTGGGGTTATAGGAATGTTCAGAGATGTCTGGATTTTTATTTAGCTCTGGGGATTTGAACTCTGGTCCTCATGCTTGGGCAGCAGCTATTCTTACCTGCTGAGCCATCTTCATTTTTAATAACTGACACTCTATTTTCTTTTTAACTAAAAATATAAATATATGACATATGTTTAGTAGCATCTAAAAATATTGAACACAAACTTATCTTAATTTGATAATTTCCTTCTACTGATTTCTTTCTATTTTCTCCTAAATTTGATCATTTACTTTCTTCCCTTTAATTTTAAATTTTTGATATTTATTTTATCTTATCAAATATAATGTCATACATATTAATGAAAACCATGTTGAATCATATAGTTCATGTATCTATAATTTAGAAGTGCAAGCCATTTGGACAGTAATTGAAATTATTGAGGTGTTCACTGCATTTCTGATAGATGGTATTCCCCTACAGCCATCTACGAACAGTCTTGTGAAGCCCACAGGCACAAAGGGAGACCTTCTGGGGTTTACTACATTGATGCAGATGGAAGTGGACCACTGGCACCATTCCTTGTGCACTGCAATATGACAGGTGTGTTAATAGTCTTCACATTTGTATAACACCTACAATGAAATCAGAATCAGAGTAGATTCAAAAATATACGTAGTTGACCTTATTATATTATATATTATATTGTATTATTTTTATTATATTATAATTGTGTAATGTTAAGTAGAAATACTGCATAAGTATTTGTTAATTTTTTGTAAATAAAATTTTACCTAGCAAAATCAAAAGCCATGCTAGGTAATCCATATTGCTCCTACACTTCTCACAATCACTTGTTCACAACTATCACCACAATAAATATGAAGCTTTGATTCTAATATTTATATTTTTACAGTTTAAATCAAAATACTAATTGCTAAAAGTACTAGAAAACGGCATGTAAATGGTAGAATTTATGTATACCTTAGAAAATTTAATGATCAGGTGGGCATGTAATTTTTTCAACATCAAGGAGATTTGAGTTTTTGATATTATAAACCACCTTTGGTTTAGATATTATTACAAATGAAGGCAGCTTGATTATGGAAGATTACATGATAATTAAATTTTTACAGATAATTGCTTTCACCCATCATTTTCGAGTATTTAGAAAGAAGAAATCTGAAATAAATAGTTCTCATTTAAGATGCTTAGAAAATGTTCTAAAGTTTCATAAATTGGCCAGTAACCAGATAAGTCATCAAAGACCAAGGGGGGAAACAGATAAATGAAAAGTACAAGAATACCAAAGAATATTAAAGCAAGGGAAATTTAGATGATTCAGAACCACCTGTGCAGAAATGTGCGGGAGATACTAATTATCACCAGATCTCCCTGATAAGACAGTCAAACAAAATAGAGACAAGTGCAGCTTTTCCCAGGAGCCATTTGTACCCCATCATCTTCAGGCAAGTCACTTCCATAAAGTGATCCTGGCAAAATCAAAGTACCCACAAACTCGAACCAAGAAGAATGTAGAACATCACAATTTAAAGATGAAGAAGCTAGAGACTGCACTGCTTATAGCTAATAAAAGAACGTCAAGACATACAAATAAAGCAATAGCAACTTTAAAAGGTCAACAGTCAAAATACTGTTTCAGAAACTTGAAAATGGATACTTGGTGAGAGTTTGCAAAAACCAGTGTCTTCTGTTAGGCATGCCAAAGAACTTGGAAATTATAATGATGTTTTACCCAGATTTAGGCTGAACAAAATGAAAAGTTACTCTTCCTGGATCCATCAGAGAAATGAAGTCACAGAGAAAACCATTGACCATCAAATTAGAGAGACAAATAGGTAGATCAAGACAGAAACTTGGCTGAACAGATAACCAAGAGCAGGAGCCTCCATGGAAACAAGTGCCAGGGTAGATACCAAAGTGCAAGTGGAGGAACACTCCTGGAGACTCAGAGGGGACAAGTCTAAGAGTTAAAATATCAGGGGAGACCCCATCATTGTGAAATTTTTTCTGTTATGTGTTTGACCAGCTTCTCATAGTACATAATAGAGAAAAAAAGTCTCTTAATGCTTCTAGAAGAGGAAGAGATTGCTAAGAACCACTTTGAAGACACCAGAATATGTTGTACTTCCCCACAATATCGATGCTTCTTTATAGTCCTTCCTAGTTCCAAAATTCTTAATGTTTATCAAAAGAATTTGTGGCTCATTGGGGAAAAATTCCTACCCTTTCTGATCATGCTTACTATGGTATCAACAACAGTAATGATTTAAGTGAAATTTTGTAAATAATGATCCACATCTCATATGTTCCCAGATTACCATTTTATTCTTTAGAAAAGCAGTTTTACAGCTACAGTCCCAATCCTCCCCTTCTCTGTTCCAAGGATGTTTTCATTATTACATTTAAACCATACAAATTTATTAAACTGACCGACAGTTAAATGAACTCCTCAAGACCACCAAACCATGACCATGGCCAATAAACAAACAAACAATCAAATAAATAAATACATAAATAAATAAATAAAATTATGCATGACTACCTTCACTGCCCAATTTATCTTCTTTATAAATGATTTATTTGATAGGAGAAACTTGATAATGATGGGTGGATAGCTCACAAAAAGTCATTTCAGTTTTTAAAAATTATAAAATTAAAATAAATATATTTAGAACATATATGTGTTTATGTGGATACAGGCGCATTTGTGTGTATAGGTGCATATGCACATGAATACACACTGTAAACAGAGGCTTTTCTGTCCTGCCCTGTCCAGTGGCCACTTGTGAATAATCACTCAGAGGCTTAATATTTATTACAAACTGCTTGGCCAAACATCTCAGGCTTATTAATTAGTGCTTATTACTTAAATTAACCCATTCTATTAATCTATGTATTGCCACATGGCTATGGCGTTATCAGTCTGCTGGCATCTTGCTCCTTGGGCAGATGGCTGGTTTCTCCCCTGGTTCTACCCTTCTTTTCCCTGTATCTCTGCTTGGATTTCCCCCCTGGTTCTGTCCTGCCTTGCCATAGGCCAAAGCAGCTTTATTTATTAACCAATGAGAGCCACACATTTTCACAGCATACAGAAAGACATTCCACAGCAGAAGACCTTGGGTTTTGTTCCCCTGGCATAATCCAGTTCTGTTCTGTTAGGAATAATAAGACTCTTAAACTTGTCTCATGAATCTTTGACAATCAAGCTATTAAAATTCCTGAGATGTAGGCCTAGAGTGATAGCTCAGTTAGTAAAATAACCTGAGTTCAGAACCTAGCACCAGTAGCTCCAGTGCAGTGGGAGGGGGGAACACACACACACACACACACACACACACACACACACACACACACTCCAGATGGGTCTTCCTTAAATTTATCTAATGAGAACAATAGACACACAAATAAGGAAAATGCCATTTAAAAAAAAGAAAGTAAAGTATCCATACATTCTTGTGTTATAAACATAGTTTTAAGAGCTAGAAATCCATGCTTACATTATATGCCTTTAGATGTGACATCATGAAAGTTTAATCATCAATTCTGATATTTTTTCCTAAGGACTAAGTTCTACCTATACATTGCTACACAAATCCAACTCAAAAAGTTACCAGAAACTCACATGAACGCAAATGCCATTTTCAAAGTTAACTCACATTAGACATGCCTTTGGTCTGTGCTTTTTGCACATTCTTGCAGCCCATTGACATCTCTCTACCTGGTTTCCTCTCAGCAGATACAACATTAACTGTGGTTCAGCACAGAGGGGCCTGATGCAATGACAGTCAGAGGTGGCCCAGAAGGACGAATGCATTCTGCAACCTTCTCCTATGCTGCCAATGCAGTACAGCTTCATTGTTGCAGAGCACTGTGAGCAGCGGGTGACTCTACAATGCAGAACCTCAGGGCTCTCAGATACAGGAGGTAAGGGTCCAGTGGGATGCAGAAAGGGCATGTAGGGCAAAGGCACAGCTCTGCAGTGTAGCTGGAGAGCGTCTTTCCAGGTCCTGCTGAGCCCCAGCAGTTCAACAGCCCACTTATAAAATAAACACACAGATGCTTATATTATTTACAAACTGTATGGCCATGGCAGGCTTCTTGCTAACTGTTCTTATATCTTAAATGAACCCATTTCTATAAATCTATACCTTGCCACATGGCTTGTGGCTTACCGGCATCTTCACACTCTGCTTGTCATGGCGGCGGCTGGCAGTGTCTCCTTCCTCCTTCCTGTTCTCTCAATTCTCCTCTCTGTTAGTCCCACCTATACTTCCTGCCTGGCCACTGGCCAATGATTGTTTTATTTATTGACCAATTAGAGCACACATTTGACATACAGACAATCCCACAGCACTGCAGCCTGTAGAATGCAGTGCATTTCCAAGAAAAAAAGGACCAAGGTTGTTTACTAAGAGCTTACTCAAATCCTTGCCTAATTCCAAATCAGGCTTTGATTAGACTGCAGTAAAGGGCACCCCTGACATTTTAACAAATGTTCAGTATTCATGTGCACAACTAATAGCATGCTATTTTTTAACATAAGGAAAATTTGTGTTAACAGTAGTGTTAGCTTTCTGTTTACAATTAAGGAAAAATGCTAAATAGTGTGTGCATGGCCTAGTAGTTCTTGGAGACCAACTGCAACACATAATGCCTCTTTTTTCCAAGATAAAGTTTTTTTCCCCTTTTATTGAAAATAGATTTTCTCATGCAATATATGATTACAGTTTCACTTCTCTCTGTTCCTCCCAGTTCCTGCCCTCCAGATCCATCCCTTTCTGTCTCTCATTAGAAAAGAACAGACTTCTAAAAGACAATAATCCATTGTTTTTATCTAAGTTGTTCTATTTACCAATAAAGACTCCAGAGTCAGTCAAATGTTGGAGTGAAAAACAGCTAAATCAAAGAGGCCAAGAAGCAACCTGTTGACATCCCTTTTTAGCTGGAGACCCAGCAAGAAAGCATCTCTCCACCCATCCCAAACCAAAAAAAAAAAAAAAAAGTGAATCTCTAAGTCCCTCCTATTCCTTCCTGTGTATCTCTTTATCTGTATTCCTGGCTTCTCAGTCCTCACTAAGGAAAATTCCTGCCAAGTAGTTGCTGGCTCCACCCCTGATCCAAGGTTAATTTTATTAACACAGTCTACGAGTTTCACAGTGCAATTGAATATCCTGCAACATTTTCCCCTTTTTGTCTAAATAAAGAGAGGTTTAACTCTAACACAGTAAAACTATATACAATAAGAACAATTATTAGGTAAGAATTACATTCACAATGTCCAGTCCATTTGTTTTTGGCAAATTCGGAGAAAATACTCTATTATTTATCCTATCTTGGTAAGCCCAAAGTTTTATACCTAAACCACTTTCTGTCATAACTTGTATTACTAGCCTAAAAATACCCTTTTAGGCCTTAAAACATTCTCTTAGATAAACAATTTAAGTTTTTATGTCTCTCAACCTTATAAACTTTATATCACTTTTGTAAGTTTCTTTTCTGAATTTTGGAACAAAGAAAATGGTATAACTTCAACCCCCATCAGAGACCCAAAAAGAATAAAATACTACCTGAGTAAACAGGAAGAACAGGAAGTGCAGAGCAAACAACTTCCAAAACTATAGAAATGACAGAGACAGCTGGTTACCTGGACAGTCATACAAGATTCCTCTGCAATATTGGAGCATCTATCTTTGGCCTGCAGGCCTAGAATATCTGACAGGCTTTTCTGTGAAGCAATAGTTTTGAAGGACTAGTCTATCTTGTCTTTGCAAAATTCAGCAGTCGACTTCCTTTGCATCCCTCTTGTCCAGTTTTGACAGTGAACTGTCAGTAGTCAAGGCAAAGGAAGTTTCTTGCCTGGTAACTAGTTTTGCCACAAAGAAGTCAAACTTCATATGGAGGTTCTTAGATGGTCATCATCCTTTTTTGAAGTAGATTGGTGTGGTGGTATTGTGTTCCCCAAAATATCGTGCATCCTATTAAACTTATCTGGGGTCAGAGAAATAACAGCCACTACATACAGAGGCTAGAAAATGGTGGCACGCACACCTTTAATCCTAGCATTCCAGAGGCAGAGATTCACCTGGATCTCTGAGTTCAAGGCCACACTGGAAACAGCCAGGCATGGTGACTCATGCCTTTAATCCCAGGAAGTGAGTCTTTAATCCAAGGGAGTTATGGCAGAAAGCAGAAAGGTATATAAGGCATGAAGACCAGAAACTAGAAGCTTTCAGCCTGGTTAAGCTTCAGGCTTTCGAGAAGCAGTTCAGCTGAGATCCATTTGGCTGAGGACTCAGAAGCTTCCAGTCTGAGGAAACAGGATCAGCTGAGGAACTGACAAGTTGAGGTGGCTGTGGCTTGTTCTACTTCTCTGATCTTCCAGCTTTAACCCAGTACCTGGCCCTGGGTTTGTTTTTATTAATAATAACTTTTAAGATTCATGCTATAGATTGGTACTGCCAGGAGCAGATGTGTCTTACTGTCATGAAAAGCCTTAGGTTATTAAAACATCTTAAATGCCATATTCGGTAGATCTCTGAAGTATGTGAAGACCAACTATATATATCTAAAATAAATGAGGATAAATAAAGCTTATTTCTGTCTACATTTAAACCCTAACTACAAGTATGTTACCTTAATTATCTTAAACAGTTTGTAATAGTGGCTTTTCAAGGACTAGAACTTTACACTAAAATTTAAAATGAGTTGAATAGGTACAATACCTTACAGTATGTTGTAACAAAAGTGATCTTAAATTTGTTTCAATATGCAAAAAAATCCACACCATTGTAAAACATTTGAGACTAGTAGCTGTTTTTTAGTCTAAAAATAGATTCAATAATCTACCCTTTTATCCTACCATACCTATATCCCCCCTTGTTTCTTTTAGAAAGAGATATGTGAATCTAACCTGCTTTGAAAAGTTTTCTCCCTGACCATGATTAGTAACAACTTGCAACTAACCTCCTAAACAATGACAAACATCTATAATCCACCAAATGATCAAAAAACACCCACTTTACCTCTTGGGTATATGGGCATCCTGTTTTTAAAATTGCTTCCTGCTGTCTGGAGGCCATTGCATCTTTAGGGGATTCTGAGAAAATTGGTATAATGGTCAAGTCCTAGGAAAGCTAGCTGTATCATTTGTTGTCTAATCTCTGTGTAATGGGAAAGTGCAGGGATCATCTGAAGCACTGGCTGGAGTAGTCTATGAGGCAGGACCTTCTTAGCTAACCATTTTGAAGTTGTCCTGAGTAGTTTGTAGTCTGAAGCTGATCTTTGAGTGGTGTTTGTCAGCTTAGTAGTGTCATCACAATCCAAGTGGATTCATCACTGCAGGGACCCATTGTCTTCTTGGAGACCTCAAAGGTCACTGCCAGGAATGGTCATTGTTCACTGCAAAAAAAATTTAAACATTTAAAATGTCATATTCAGCAGATCTCTGAGAGGTTAAAGGACCACAATCTATTAAATACATCTAGGCATACAAACTTAGTTCTACTTACCTGCTTCAGACTCATACCTGAAAACTCATACAAAGAAGCTAGATGAAGTTTATTTCTATAATAGTTAGTACTCTATTATGACCACTAATACCATGACAGAAAGTTAGATAGATGATAGACAGACAGACAGACAGACAAGCAGACAGACAGACAGACAAGCAGACAGACAGATAGATAGATAGATAGATAGATAGATAGATAGATAGATAGATAGATAGACATTATAAATTTTGAGATAATATTTATATTTTAAGAAAAGTTTTTAAGAGTCAATAAAAAACCAAGGGATTATGAGATTAGTGACAATAGAATAGACTCTTAATTTTGGTTTTCTTCTGTCCCATACCAGATGGCTCTTCTGACATGAGACAGATATTTTGAATTTTCCTTTAACAAGTATGCTTGAGTGTAGAGAAGGAGGAAGCCATGCTCCAACTCCAAAGTTAGCTTTGATTTTTAATTGAATTGGTACCACAAACAGACCTTCTGCCTTTTATTTTTGTACAGAACAGCAAAAACAAGCTTTTGGTAAGATTTATGAAATTCTATCATTGGAGGTATGCTATACCATTAAGCCAATTTACTCTTTCTTGGGACATTTTTGCTTCATGATTCATCCTTCTTCATATGTCTCATTCGTCCAGTGATCCTTAAATTCCTTAGCTGTATATTTTTATTCTCTTGAAAATACAAAACAGAACCATGCTCCAACCCTAACTTTGGGGAGTTCCTTTTTTAGCAGGTTATATCTTTGTTAAGGCAAAACATTTTTTGGCAACAAAAAACGTATTATCTTTTAATAGTATTTTTTTATATACCTGATCAAATGAAAGGCATTTGTTAGTCTTATGAGTTAGTTTGGATTGAATGACCAAGCTGTTTGGTGAACTATCTCCTTTCCTAATTAAGAGGTCTCTCCTGTTTAAATCTAGTCTTTATCAACCTTGATAGTATCCATAGCTTTTCTTTTCCAGTGGAGACAAAAGCAAAACTTCTTCCACAACATAACACATATCCTAGCTTCCATTATGAGGTCAGCATATCTTTAAAATGTAAAGGCTGAACTAATTCAGCAGGTTTTTTTTCTATTATCCAATGTCTCTCCACAGCTGTTGTTCTTTTCTCACTAGCATTTAAAAAATTTAAAGTTAATAAAGCATTGTGTAATCTATATCTGGTGTCTTTATTACCCCTTTCTGTTTATTAACCATATCTTTTAAAGTGTGATTAGATCTTTCTACAACTGCTTGTCATGTAGGATTATGTGATATATCTATATTATGCTTTATGTTGTAATATGCAAACAAAAGTTTCATTTTATCCAAAACATATGCTGGAGCAATGTCAGTATTAATTTGGACAGGTGTTCCCATAATGGCCATAACTTCTAATAAATGTGTAATTACAGAATCAGCC